AGCAGCAGTGTTCCCTTGCCCACGGTCCCCTCACCCTCAACCTAATCCGCTCTCGGATTAGGCTCCTGGCGGGGCCTAGTGGAATTTAAATCTTAATGCCGGTGCTCCGGAAACCCTGGCTGGAGGGGGTGGTGGGAGCGGTACACAGCAGCCCGGGGATTCGGGGATTCTAGGAGGCCCTGGGGTCTGGCCGGCAAGACGCATTCCCTCCCTTGGCAAATTAAAGGGAATAGATCGGGGTGCAGGCTGCAGCAGCCTAGGGAGGTGCTAGCGGATTCGCAGATTTGTTTATAGTTAAGCGAGCGGTTGGGGAAGGAGCTTTGCAGGAACCAAAAGGGAAAAGGGCTTTGTATTCCCAAAGGGTATTGCTATTAAGACTCCCGTTTGCTTTGAGGGGCTTCTGGGCGCCTTCCCACCGCCAAAGGTTGTCGGTTGCCCAAGGAGAGCTGAGCACTGGGGCCAGGGGCGAGAGAGCGCGCGGCTTGGTGAAGGCCCGAGGGAAATGCTTCCACCCCCAAGGGCCGCTCCAGGGCTGATGGATTTGTGCCCGGTCCCTAGCAGGGCCCGCCCCCGCGGTGTTTGGGGATGGGGGTCTTCCCAGAGCGCCCGATCTCCTCCAAGTCGGGGTGTGCTAAAGACGTCTACCCTCTCGGTCTGGGCTGAGACACCTGTCCCCGGACACCTAGCGCGTCCCTGCACCGCTTCCCCAAAGGATGAGCTCCCACGGTGCCGAGAGCTCGGCCGCGCCTGTGCCCTCCGCGCGCAGCTTTCCCACCGGTTCGCTTACCGCACGCCCGGGGCTCCTGCCCGCGCCGAGGGCTTTTGTTCACAGCTCGCCGCGCTCGCGCGGCCTCTTCAATCCCCGCGCCCCAGGAGTCGGGTTACCAAGGGCTGCAGCGGTGATCCGGGCTCCAGCCTCCGCTGCAGCCACAGCCAGTGCCTCTCCATGGGGCCCGCGATGCACACACTCCAGACTCTCCCGACACGCGGGAGGCGAAGTGCGACCAGGCTACCCGAAAATAACGCGTCTCTGCACCCTTCCCTCGCCCGGATTCTTAAAAAAGCCAGAATCGGCCCATCGCTGCTGCATCTTTCTCCGCCTCTCTCTTGGTGCAGGTACCGCAGGCCTGTCCCTGTCCCCGGCGCCTCCTAGCGGGCACAAGGGTGCTTGTTTTGCTTAGAGGGCGAAGAAGAGGAAAATTAAATATAGCTCTCACCAGGAAACTTCATCTTTCTGTGCCTTTATTGGGCGGAATGAAGGAATCGTTCAGCTTGTTTCTCCAGGAGACCCTGGGAAGCAACCAAACTTGATAGGGGAATATGGCGCCTGATCCAAACGGGAGTGTTTTGTTTTGTTAGGGGCGGGGGTGGGAGTGGGTAAAGAAAAGCTAAGCACATTCAGATGGGTTTGAGGCAGGCAGAAGATGTGTGACTAGTGTTTGCTGCAACCTTTTATGCATCTCGGGTTCCAGATTTTTAAAAAAGTCAAGCTGGTTAGTGCCACCGAATGATAGGTGTTCTGAGCTCCATTTTGAGTGGTGGTGAGACTACAGGAGATTGAAGGCGCATGTGATGGGGAAGGGGCCTGGGGCCGGTGGGACGTAACACTAGGGAGTTTTATGAATTGTGTTGTCGAATAACTGACCTCATTAGGTTGGCAGTTTGGAGCATGGGATTTAAACAGAGGAGTGACGTCAAAACAAAACTCTGCCATGGAGTCAATGTAACTCAAAGCAACCCTATGGGACAGGGTAGAGCTGCTCCTGGGACTGTAACTTTCACAGGAGTAGAACATCCGGTCTCCCACAGAGTAGCCGGTGGGTTTACTCTGGGAGCCTTGAGGATCATAGTCCTATGAGTAACCACTAGGCCACCAAGGCTCCGAAAAGTGACACTGGAGAGTTTATCTTTTAGGAACACACTTGAACAACAAGCTGGTGGAAGATTTAAAAGTGCAAAGACCAGTAGGCTGGATTTGGGGGTGAGGGTTTAAAACCTTGAAGTAGCTCTGACTCCTGGGGGCTCCCTGTGTGTCAGAGCCCAACTGTGTGTGCGCCATAGGGTTTTCGATGGCTGACTTTAGGGAAAATGGCCAAGTCTTTCTTCTGCGAACACTTAGGGGAGGACTTGAACCTCCAGTGTCTGGGTCAGCGGTTGATTAACCGTTTGCACCACCCAGGGGTGCCCAGTGAAGGGTAAAATCTCGGAAAAGGAACTTTAACGCAATTTTCAGAGCTGACTGGAGGCTGTGGGGGAGGGTATGAGGAGCAGGGAAGGCCCAAGGGTGACTTTGTGAAGCAGTGAGGTGACAGCGTGAACTACAGCCGGGAGTGGGTCCCGCAGGGAGGATCTGTTGGTCTGGAGGACCAGGAAAGACTAGGGGATCACTTGAGTTTGAGGTGGAGCGACTCAGCAGGTGGCTGGATAAGACCCAGAGTGGAGCTAGAGTTGGGTCATTACCATTTAAGAGGCCCCTAAGGCCAACAAAGTGAATGAGAAGTAAGAGAGGTAGGCTGGGCATGTGTGGGCCTCAGAGAAAAGGAGTCCTTGAAGAGCACAAGAAGGGCAGGCAGAAAAATGTGGTCTGTGAAAACTAACAAGCCCTCCACTGAAGGACTAATGAGTACTTCAGACAAGGGCATGCATGCCCCTAGTGTGGAGGCAGCAGAGCTGCAGAAAGGTTGTACTACACAAACACGCTAGAAAAACAGGTGAGGCAAAAACCCTTAGAAGGCATGCAGATATGAAGAATTGCTCTCAATGAAGAAAAAGTGCATATGTCTTGTAAGAGGTGGGCAGATTTCTCTCATCTTTAAGGGCTTTAGACATTTTAGGAGGTGAGTTTCACCCAGGCTAAGTGCTAGTTCCCTTCAGGTTGGGATTTCTAGCCTGCTGAAGATCAAGGGTGACACATTGAATTTCATTATGGTACCCAGGAAGGAAAGCAGCAGCCCAGGTGGGCAAGCACCCTCCTACCACATGGTAGTGGGCTTTGGTGGTGAGGATTGTAGGCTCAGGAGTCAGGTATACTGATCATTCCAATTGTAGCTCAGCAAGACTGTGTGCTACCCCCTGTCTGTCAATAAATCATTCCACAGTGATGTAATGTGTTGCCTGTGTATTGCTGGAACCTATGCCACCAATAATTAAAATACCAGCAGAGGCACTCATACTAGACAAGTTTCAGTGATGCTACTACACTAGGAAAAAAGGCCTAGCAATCTAATGGCAAAAAGTAGCCATTATGGTGCTGGCTAGTGGCCAGCAAGTGGGTTACAGAAGCCGAAGCAGGGGGGGTTAGTCCTTGTTTTCTGCCAAAGCAGGGCATTGTCTCTGACTTATTTATAGCCCTTGGATCACACATACTTGTGTGCTTCTTCCATGTGGACCAAGTTGGTGGCTCACTTAGTTAGCTGCTTGCTTTAAGCAAGCCTTTAAGACTCCAAAGGCTATTCTTTCTAATAGGCAGGCACTATCTTGTTTCTTCACCACACTTTGCTATAGCACCCATATCTTCAGGGATCTCTTTATGAGGATGGGCATTG